CCAAAAGGTAGAGAGAGAGAGCATCCAAATTATCAAAATCAGAATTGAAAAAGGGAGGCATAACAACAGATACTGAGGAAATCCAGAGAATCATTAGGTCATACTTCAAAAACCCGTACTGTACAAAATTCGAAACCTTAAAGGAAATGGACAATTTTCTGGATAAGTACCACATACCAAAATTAAATCAGGACTAGATAAACAAATTAAATATTCCTATAACTCCTAAATAAATAGAAATAGTTATCCAAAGTCTCCCAACCAAATAAAAAGCCCAGGGCCAGATGGTATCAATGCAGAATTCTACCAGAATTTCCAAGAAGAATTAATACCAATATTCCTCAAATTGTTCCACACAATAGAAACAGAAGGAACATGGACAAACTCTTTTTAAGAAGTTACAGTTACCATGATACCCAATGCACACAAAGATATAACAAAAAGAAAGAAAGAAAGAAAGAAAGAAAATTACAGACCAGTCTTCCCCATGAACATTGATGCAAAAATACCCAATAAAATACTGGCAAACCGAATCCAAGAACACATCAGAAAAATCATCCACCATTCTCAAGTAGGCTTTATCCCAGAGATGCAGGGATGGTTCAACATAAGAAAATCTGTCAATGTATTCCACCATATAAACAAACTGAAAGAAACAAACCACACATGATCATCTCATGCTAAAAAGCCTTCAACAAAATTCAAAACCTGGAGCCGAAGAAATGGCCCAGAGGTTAATATCACTGGCTTCTCTTTCAGAGGTCCTGAGTTCAATTTCCAGAAATCACATGGTGGCTCACAACCATCTGTAATGAGAACTGGTGCCTTCTTCTGGCATGCAGAAATGTATATGCAGACAAAACACTGTATACAAAATTAAAGACCCCTTCATGATAGAGGTCTTGGAGATTTCAGAGGTACATGGAACATCCCTAAATATAATAAAGTCAACATTTGGCAAGCCAACAGCCAACATCAAATTAAATGGAGAGAAACTCAAAGTGTTTCCACTAAAATCAGGAACAAGGCAAGGCTATCCACTCTCTCCATATGTATTCAATATTGTACTTGAAGTTCTAGCTAGAGCAATATGACAAAAGGATATCAAGGGGATACAAATTGGAAAATAAGAAGTCAAACTTTTGCTATTTGCTGATATAATAGTATACATAATTGACACCAAAAATTATATCAGGGAATGCCTACAGATGTTAAACACCTTCAGTATGTAGCAGGATACAAGATTAACTCAACAAAAAATCACTAGCTCTCCTACATACAGATGATGAACTGGCTGAGAAAGAAATCAGAAAAACATCACCCTTCATAATAGCCACAAATAACATAAACTATCTTGGGGTAACTCTAACCAAACAAGTGAAATACCTGTATAGAAAGAAATTGAAGTCCTTAAAGAAAAAAATTGAAGAAGACATCAGAAAATAGAAAATATGATCTTGGATACATAGGATTAACATAGTAAAAATGACAGTCTTACCAAAAGCAATCTACAGATTCAATGCAATGCCCATCAAAACCACAGAAAAAATTCTTCACAGACCTCAAAAGGACAATACTCAACTTCATATGGAAAAACAAAAATCCCAGTATAGCCAAAACAGTCCAGTACAATAAAGGAACTTCTGGAGGTATCACCATACCTGACTTCAAACTCTACTACAGAGCTACAGTAATTAAAAAAATATTGATATTGGCATAAAAACAAACAGGTGGAACAATGGGATGGAATTGAAGACCCTGACATAAACCCACACACCTATGGACACCTGATTTTTTTTTATAAAGATGCTAAAATTATAAAATGTGAAAAGAAAGCATCTTCAACAAATAGTGCTGGCATAACTGGATGTCAGCATGTAGAAGACTGCAAATAGATCCATATCTATTGCCATGCACAAAACTTAAGTCCAAATGGATCATAAAACCAACCACACTGAACCTCATAGAAGAGAAAGTGGAAAATCACCTTGAACACAATGTCACAGGAGACTATTCCCTAAATATAACACCAGAAGCAGACACTAAGAGCAACAATGAATTAATTGGACATCCTGAAACTGAAAAGTTTCTGTAAAGCATAGGACACTGTCAACAAGACAATACCACAGCCTACAGAATGGGAAAAGATCTTTACCAACCCCACATTTGACAGAGGACTAATCTCCAAAATATACAAATAACCCAAGAAACTAAACATCAACAAACCAAATAATCCAATAAAAATGGGGTATGGATCTAAACAGAGAGCTCTCAGCAGAGGAATATCAAATGTCAGAAAGACACGTAAGGAAATGCTCAACATCCTTAATCATCAGAGAAATGCAAACCAAAACAACTGTGGAATTCAGTCTTACACCTGTCAGAATGGCCAAGATCAAAAAGTCAGCTCATGCTGGAGAAGATGTGGAGTATGGGGAACACTCATCCATTGCTGGTGGGAGTGCAAACTTGTACAGCCTCTTTGGAAATCAGTTTGGTGGTATCTCAGAAAAATGGCAATTAATCTACCTCAAGACTCAGCAATACCACTTTGGGACATATACCCGAAGGATGCACACTCTCACTGCAAGGACATTTGCTCAATTATGTTCATAGCAGCTTTATTCATAATAACCAGAACTTGGAAGCAACCTAGAAGCCCCTCAACCAAAGAATGGTAAGGAAAATGTGATACACTTACACAATGGAGTAATAGTCAGTGGCAAAACAAAAAACAAAAAACAAAAAACCCAATGACATCTTGAAAATTGCAGGCAAAAGGACATAACTAGGAAAAGCCATCCTGAGTAAGATAACCCAGACCCAGAAAGACAAATATAGTATGCACTCATTCATAAGTGGATATTAGATATAAAGCAAAGGACAACCAGCCTATAGGCCACAATGCCAGAGAACCTAGGTAACAAAAGAGGACCTTAAGAGAGACATACACGGATTTGCCTGGGAAGGGGAAAAAGACAAGATCTCCTAAGTAAATTGGGAGCATTGGGGCAAGGGAGGGTGGAAGGGGAGAGGGGAGAAGGGAAAATATATATCTCACTAAAAATTAAAATAAAAGACTGTTACTGGGAAATTTAACTAGAATAAAAGAAAGAATTCCATGCATGACAACAGTGAGAAGTTCCAAGATGACAGCTGTATAACAGATGTAGAAAACAACCATCCAATATAAAGGGGAACTGGTATCTTGGAAGACACAGGAATCTCCACATGCAGAATTACACTGGAAGGCAACTGGAATTATGGGAAGATTTAGATAAGTACTATTGGTAAAGAAAATGAAAACCCCAGACAATTATTAATGTCAAGACAATAGGGGGAAAGCATAATTATTACATAGCAAAGTCTCTAACACATTGCAAGTCCAACTTTATCAAAGAGTCAGTTGATAATGTGTGGGATAAAAATACATTTTTAAAAATCACTGCCAGAGGAGGTGACCAAAAATGCCTAAAAATGGCTGCATCTTGGAGAGAAACAAAGGGGAGAGAAGGTGGGGTCATTGTATTTTAAGTCTCACAGTGTTTGTTTTTTATTCTGGCTACATTTTATTCTGGGGTAACAGGAATTTTAAAATGTTGGTAACCTGGGGTTCTTACAAGTCTCACCACCAGTAGAAAGTGGTAATGGGATAAGAGGCATTGTTGATAATAATATGGAAAGCTAAATAATACTAACAGTTTTGAAAACTAGAAAAATGACTTTTAATAAAATGAAAGGCACTGAAAGAATTATGAACATATATAACGCAGGACACAATGGACAAGATAAAGATCTACCACCAATGAAAGCATAAGACTGAGGCAACTTAAGAGGCAAATTGTAGCTAGGCATACAGAAGGAAACAATATGCCTGCACCTGTTTTGATCTGCAAAAGCAGATGGAAGTCTTCTTCACTCTTCTATGAGGCCAGGATGACAATCTACTACCCAAATCATATAAGTTAAACATGAAGGGAAACTTGGGGGCAGAGATATCCTAAAAACAGGTTGACATAGCAAATATTCCTGTGCATCAAAACTAATTTGTCATGGTTAAGTTCAATTTATGTTAAGGACACAAGAATTTAAAAGCTAGGTAACATATGGACAATTTAAACAAATATTTTTTTTAAAAAAATTGTGAATTAAATTGAAAGCATCCTTGATTTTAAAGTCTCAGCTGGGTGGTTGTGGCACAAGCCTTTAATCCTAGCACTTGGGAAGCAGAGGGAAGAGAATCTCTGTGAGTTTGAGGCCAGCCTGGCCTACAAAGAAAGTTCTCAGACAACTACAGCCACACAGAGAGACCCTGTATTGGACAAAAATGAATAAACAAAAATCTCAGTATTTTTCTCTGGGGACAGCCATCATAAAGACCCAATATCAAAGCACTTCCACAAATGCAAAACTGAGCTACTTGCTACAGCCAGTACCAGAGCATTTGCTGGGTACAGGAGATCTTGGTAATTAATGCCAATATATATTACTTACAGAAGATAGAGTGTGAAAATTGTGGAGCAGAAAGTATTGTATAAGGTACAGAAGAATGAAGACCTTGAAATTGGAAGAATTGTCCAAGTCACAAGAAACTGGAGAAAACCCTAGTTTTTCTGTGTTAATACATGATTGCTAAGTGGTTTACAAATAACACAATGTGTGTTTCTCTTTCATAATCTTTACCGTCAACTTTTGAAATAGGAGTTTTTTAGATTTTCTTAAATTTTGGTGGGGAATCAGGGTTTTTGTAAACCCTGGAGCAGAATCCCTTTAATCTGCCATCTTTTTGCTCTATTCTTGAAAAAAGAATAGCACTTGTACAACGCAAGGTGGCGCTGCAGGCTAAAAAGAGGAAAGGAAAGGGACAGGGAAGGGGGCGAAAACCTCACAAAGGATAGACTAGGTTCCTGACAAAGCCATAGGAAATGACACAGCAGTTGCAAGCGCTACGAGAAGGTGCCTCTGTCTTCTCACAGGAGTTGCTAATGGCCTAAGGATCAATCCTAAGGATTCTGCTGCTGGCATTCCAGGGAGCTGATCTTTGTTTTTACTGTGTAAGTCTTAGGAAGAATGGAGGTCAGACTGGAAAGACCTGTGCAGAAAAGGCAAGTACTGCTTCTTTGTGTATTTCTGGGAGCATCTTGGGCTGGCTCCGAGCAGCTTCAGTATTTTGTGGCAGAGGAAACTGAGAGAGGCACTTTGCTGGCCAATCTAGCTAAAGATTTGGGGTTGGGGCTGGGGGGAACTGTCAGCTCGGGGCGCTAGAATTGTTTCAGACCAGAACACACGGTTTTTACTGCTCAATCTGCTCACTGGAGACTTAATTCTAAATGAAAAGTTGGACCGGGGAGGAACTGTGCGGCCCCACAGAGCCATGTGTGCTGACTTTCCAGTTGCTGTTGGAAAACCCATTTCAGATTCATCGTGCTGCACTGCATGTCAGAGATATAAATGATAATTCCCCAGTGTTTCTAGACAAAGAAATTCCCTTGAAAATATCAGAAAGTATGACACCAGGGACGACGTTTCTCTTGGAGAGGGCACAGGATTCCGATGTGGGAACAAACAGCCTGAATAACTACACCATCAGTCCCAATGCCTATTTCCACATTCACGTGCATGACGGAGAGGAGGGCACTATCTTTCCTGAATTAGTACTGGATCAAACGCTGGACCGAGAGGGAATTAGCTGAGTTCACTTTAACTCTTACAGCCTTAGATGGTGGATCTCCGCCCAGATCCGGGACAGCCCTGGTTCGAATCCTGGTGTTAGACATAAATGACAACTCCCCTGAGTTCGTGCAGTCCCTCTACAAAGTCCAGTCACATGAAAACACTCCTGTTGGTTCCTTGGTTGTTGCTGTGTCTGCTAGGGATTTAGACACGGGGAAGTTATGGAGAGATAACATACACATTTTTTTATGCCACTGAAAGAATACTCCAAACATTTCAAATCAATTCCACAACTGGCAAAATTTATCTTAAAGGCAAACTCAACTACGAAGCAATTCAAAGTTACTCGATAACTATACAGGCTAAAGATGGCGGGGGACTTTCTGGGAAATGTACTGTGGTTGTAGAGGTAATGGATGTAAATGATAACCCACCTGAACTTCTCATGTCATCATTTACAAGCCCAATTGCTGAAAACTCACCAGAGACGGTCGTTGCTGTTTTTAGAATTAGAGACAGAGATTCAGGAAACAATGGGAAAACCATGTGCTCCATTCCACATGATCTCCCTTTTGTCCTGAAACCATCTGTGGAAAATTTCTACACCCTGGTAACAGAGATGCCTTTAGATAGAGAACTGCACACCGAGTACAACATCACCATCACAGTCACCGACATGGGCACACCCAGGCTCACAACCCAGCACACCATAACAGTGCAGGTGTCTGATGTCAACGACAATGCCCCTGCCTTCACACAAAGCTCCTACACCCTGTTTGTCCAGGAGAACAACAGCCCCCGCCCTGCACATAGGCACCATCAGCGCCACAGACTCAGACTCAGGCTCCAATGCCCACATCACCTACTCGCTGCTGCCCACCCACGACCCGCAGCTGGCCCTGGATTCGCTCATCTCCATCAATGCAGACAACGGGCAGTTGTTTGCGCTCAGGGCGCTGGATTATGAGGCCCTGCAGACCTTCGAGTTCCGTGTGGGCGCTACAGACCAAGGGTCGCCAGCACTCAGCAGCCAGGCATTGGTGCACGTGCTCGTGCTGGACGCCAATGACAATGCGCCCTTTGTGCTCTACCCTCTGCAGAACGCCTCTGCACCTTGCACTGAGCTGCTGCCCAGGGCAGCAGAGACAGGCTACCTGGTCACCAAGGTAGTGGCTGTGGACCGCGACTCTGGCCAGAATGCATGGTTGTCATTCCAGCTGCTCAAGGCTACGGAGCCTGGGCTATTCACCGTGTGGGCTCACAATGGCGAGGTGCGCACCTCCAGGCTGCTGAGTGAGCGCGATGCTCCCAAGCACAGGCTGCTGCTCCTGGTCAAGGATAATGGCGATCCTCAGAGGTCTGCCAGTGTCACTCTGCATGTGCTGGTGGTGGATGGCTTCTCTCAGCCCTACCTGCCTCTGCCTGAGGTGGCGCACGACCCCACACATGATGAAGACTCACTCACCCTATACCTGATCATCGCCTTGGCGTCTGTGTCTTCGCTCTTCCTCATGTCTGTGCTGCTATTTGTGGGGGTGAGGCTGTGCAGAAGGGCCAGGACAGCCTCGCTTGGTGGCAGCTCTGTGCCTGAAGGACACTTTCCTGGCCACCTGGTGGATGTTAGCAGGGTAGGGACACTGTCCCAGAACTACCAGTATGAGGTGTGTCTGACTGGAGGGTCAGGGATAACCAGCGAATTTAATTTCTTAAAACCAATTGCCCCCAACTTCTTAACCGAAAGCGCAGGGAGAGAAGCAGAATAAATACCAAAACCTTCTGCCTGTGGATATAGCCCTTGTTTAAAGTATGCCCTTGTTTCCTGTAGGAAAATGATTTTATGCTAACATCTTGAGGTTAATTAAATTAGTTCAGAAAAAGAATTCCTTTGCTTATTCCCAAGAACTTTCTCTCAAGCACGAAATCCATATGTTGCAGGCTATCTAGGATTTAATTTGATTCCTCTTTGTTTTTAAGCATTTGTTGAATTGCAATCTATTGAATGACAAATCTTGCTAGAGATGGTTTAAACTTTTTTCCATTACCTAATTTCTTCATTGATACTTATTTTCTGACTTGATTGAAATCACATGTAAAAATGGCAATCTTATATTTTGGGAGTTTATACTACACAGACTTTTCTTAAGTTTCTTTAGTAATTACTGTGCATCATACATAATTTCATCACTTTTTGGAGACATGGTTTCCCTGTATCCAGGACTGCCTTGAACTGCTGGTTCACCTGCCCCAGATTTCCAAACTGCTGGCATGATAGACATCAGCTTATATTACTACTGCATTTCAGAAGAAACCAATGAGTAGAGGTATTTCAATAATGAGCAGGTAGATGTTCATAGAGATTTGCTAAGTTCAACAATCATTAGTTGGCAAAGCGGAGCACCTCCTAATTCTTTCTGATTTGTTTCTCTTGTTTGAAGTGTGAGAGAGTCCTCATTCTTTCTATCTCCAGGCAGGTGACTTTCCAACTATATTATGCTGTTTTCTATCATTAGGTATCATCTGTCATGTTCACATTGCTCAACAATCTCTCCTGTGTTCAGAAATAGCAATGCTCTTCTTGGACTTATAAACTGATAACCTCTTTTGGGGTTTATTACTCAACTAGTGTTAAAGCTGTGACTTAACTAAAACTCGAGTTCCAAAATGGTTGGCTTTGGGCATGGTATTTAATTAAAGGCATGGCTGGGCATGCCTTTAATCCCAGCACTTGGGAGGCAGTTACAGGGGGATATCTATGAGTTTGAGACCAGTCTGGTATACATTGAAATTTCAATGACAGCCAAGGCTGCATAGAAAGACCCTGCATAGGGAAGGAGGAGGGGAGAGAAGGACAGGAGGGAGAAAGAAGAGGTTGAGGATTTCTACATAAAATTTCCATATGTTGTTGGGTTACTTTCCCTCCACCATCTGTTTTGCATTTGTAAGATGAGGAGTTCACAGAAAACCTAGGATCTAGATGGCAATATGTCATCTGTAGTAGAGAAAACTAGGGCAGCGAGATTAAATGATATTCCTAAGGATCACAACTGTTTCTGTGGTTTATCACACTAAAAGTATATAATTCCTAAAACCTTCTGTTTCTAGAAACATACATGCACACACATATGTATATATTTCTTGCGTATATTTTTCCTTCCAGGTTGTTATTTAAATGTGTATCCCTTGTTCAAAGCTCAATTAGCATTACTGTAAAAGTGTCCACCAATGCTTTATCTCTTGTGTGGCTTTCGGGCAGTTGTCTCCCCAAGAAGGCAAAGTAATAGGAGAGGTAATGCAACCTTACCTTGCCCACTGTTAGATATGGGCAGCTTTAGTTTTGTTTTTTATTTTTATTTTTTTATCCATTTTCATCCCACAAAAATGTTAAGATGCAGTGAGAACACTTGGTGGCGCTGCAGGATAAGAAAGTAAAGTAGAAGGCAGCTGTGGCTCCATTAACAGGCAAGGGAAAAGAAAAAAAAGGAAAAGGAAAAACCTCCGGAAGTCTGGAAGCCTAGAGAAGCTCTGGACATCTAAGAGAGGAGGTCTGCACCCTCGGGAAAGGACTGGAATAAATCTCAGGTATCTAATGAGATAACTACTGTACCAGATACCAGGGGGGATTTACAGTTCTACTGAAACATCCTCCAGGACTCTGCACCACAGCAAACAATGGAGGCCAGCAGGAAGCTCACTTGCAGACAAAGGCAAGTCCTTTTTTCCTTTTTCCTATTAGGGTTATATCTGGTAAGTGCAGAGGAACTGAGGCGCTATTCTGTGGTGGAGGAAAGGGAGGGTAGGTCCTTTGTAACCAATTTAGTAAATGACCTAGGTCTTGGGCAGCTGGAGCTGCCCAGGCGAGGGGCTAAGGTCATTTCCAAAGGGAACAAACTACATTTACAGCTGGATCAGGAGACAGGGGATTTGTTGTTAACTGAGAAAGTGGATCGGGAGGAACTGTGTGGACACACAGAGCCATGCCTGCTACGTTTCCAGGTGTTGCTGCACAATCCCTTAGATATTTTTCAAGCGGATCTACAAATAACAGACATAAATGACCACTCTCCAGCATTCCTGGACAAGGAAATCAGGCTAAAAATATCAGAAAGCAGTCTTCCTGGGACTACGTTTCCTCTGAAGAATGCCCAGGACATGGATGTGGGCCAAAATGGTATTGACAGCTATCTTGTCAGCCCCAATTCCTATTTTCACGTACTCACTCGAAAACGCAGTGATGGCAAGAAATACCCTGAGCTGGTTCTAGATAGAGCGCTGGATAGAGAGGAAGAAGCTGAGCTCGGGTTAATCCTCACAGCACAGGATGGTGGTTCTCCACCCAGGTCTGGCACCACCAAGGTCCACATTGAAGTCCTGGACTTCAATGACAATGCCCCCAATTTGAGCAGCTTTTTTATAGGGTACAGATCCCTGAGGACAGTCCAATAGGCTTTCTGATCATCACCGTCTCAGCTACAGATAAGGACATAGGAGTCAATGGACAGATCTCCTATTCACTTTTCCAGGCTTCAGATGATATTAGCAAAACCTTTTCTATTCACCCCTTGACGGGGGAAGTGCGGTTGAAAGAACAACTTGATTTTGAAAAGACTCAGTCCTATGAAGTCAATATTGAGGCCAGAGATGCTGGAACCTTTTCTGGAAAATGCACAATTCTGACCCAAGTCATGGACGTGAATGACCATGCTCCAGAGATTATCCTGTCTGCATTTACTAACCCCATCCCCGGAGAATTTACCAGAAACTATGGTCGCAGTTTTTAGTGTGTCTGATCTAGATTCCGGAGAAAACGGAATACTAAGTTGTTCCATTCAAGACGATCTACCCTTCTTCCTAAGGCCTTCTGGGGAAAACTTTTACACACTATTATCACAAAAACCACTGGACAGAGAGACAACAGCAGAGTACAACATCACCATCACCGTTGCAGACATGGGGAGTCCGATGCTGAGAACACAAGTCAACATAACAGTGCAGATCTCCGATGTCAACGACAACGCCCCCAACTTCACACAAACCTCCTACACCCTGTTTGTCCAGGAGAACAACAGCCCCGCCCTGCACATAGGCACCATCAGCGCCACAGACTCAGACTCAGGCTCCAATGCCCACATCACCTACTCGCTGCTGCCCCACCCACGACCCGCAGCTTGCCTCAATTATCTCTATCAACGCAGACAACGGGCAGCTGTTTGCTCTCAGAGCTCTGGACTATGAGACCCTGCAGACCTTTGAGTTCCACGTGGAAGCCACAGACCAAGGCTTGCCAGCACTCAGCAGCCAGGTGCTGGTGCACGTGCTCGTGCTGGATGCCAATGATAATGCGCCCTTCGTGCTCTACCCTCTGCAGAACGCCTCTGCACCTTGCACTGAGCTGCTGCCCAGGGCAGCAGAGCCAGGCTACCTGGTCACCAAGGTGGTGGCTGTTGACCGCGACTCTGGCCAGAATGCCTGGCTGTCATTCCAGCTGCTCAAGGCCACAGAGCCAGGACTGTTCACCATGTGGGCTCACAACGGTGAGGTGCGCACTGCCAGGCTGCTGAGTGAGCGCGATGCTCCCAAGCACAGGCTGCTGCTAATGGTCAAGGACAATGGCAATCCTCAGAGGTCTGCCAGTGTCACTCTGCATGTGCTGGTGGTGGATGGCTTCTCTCAGCCCTACCTGCCTCTGCCTGAGGTGGCACGCGACCCCACACTGGAGGAAGACTCGCTCACGCTATACCTGGTCATTGCCTTGGCATCTGTGTCTTCGCTCTTCCTCTTGTCTGTGCTGCTGTTCGTGGGGGTGAGGCTGTGCAGGAGGACCAGGGGGTCCTCTATGGATGGCTGCTCTGTGCCCGCAGGTCACTTTCCTGGCCACTTGGTGGATGTCGGTGGAATGGGTACCCTGTCCCAGAGCTACCAGTATGAAGTGTGTCTTACAGGGGACTCTGGGACTGGTGAGTTCAAATTCCTGAGACCAACTTTACCTAATTTCCAAGGCCATCCTCTTGGACCAGAAATGGAGGAAAATTCCAACAGTAGAAATGACTGGGGTTTCAGCATTCATTTAAAATAACTGTTATGGTGTGTGTGTGTGTGTGTGTGTGTGTGTGTGTGTGTGTGTGAGATCACATGTAGTGTTTTGTTGTTGTTAGAAACTGAAACTACTGTTCTTGTTGTTCTCATTATGAAAATTTGAAGCATGCTGAAATCTTGTTTGTAGGATATCCTGGCCGTGGTTTTAGTGAGCTTATCTCATCTATTCTTCAGAACAGAAAATGGAATGTTCTGGTATTTTCTTTCTAATGTGTCATGAGTTGCACACTTCTTTGTTCTGGGATAGCTTAGGAATGTACAAGAGAAGAAATGTAAAATCAGTTCAACCTAGTCAGATGTGGCTTAGCATGTGTTCTGTTCCTACTTGTTAGCCATCAAGAGCACATGCTATACCACATTGCTCAAACGCAATGGAATGTAATCAGACAGGGGAAAGAAGGGCACACTGAGGGGCCTAACTATTGCTTTATTTAGCCTCCATGGACTAACTTGTTTGTTGGTGTTTTCTCTTTGAAATATTATGTTCCTCATTGGCCTGTTACTACTTTTAACATCACTATTTTAAATTGCTTTTCTGCTGTGTTTTGTTGGGGTTGAGGAGGGTTCAGATAGCCACCCCTTATTTACCTGGTTAGCTGAAATAACACAGCAGTAAAATTGACTTTTCTCTTCTGAGAAATGTTTGCCAGTGAAAGAAACTGCCCCTGTCAATATTCATTGCCCCAACACCTTCTTGACTGTAGTATTCCAAATTCCATTCTATTAACATGCTGAGTCAAAAGAATACATTTTCACATTCCTCTTTGGCAAATATAGGTGGGCATATAGATTGGTGATAGTGGAATGTAAAAAGAATCAGCTTCCAAAGGCTTACAATTGAGGATACACCCAGGGCCCCGTGCATGCTGTGTAAGGACTGCATCGCTGATAGATCAGTGCAAACCTCCAAGAACACTTTTAAAAGGAGATGTCTCACTTAAAAGTGGATTCCCCCTTTTCAACCTTTAATGTGGTTGTTATCCTTTGTGTCTCGATCCCTTTGGGGTCACGTATCAGATATCCTGCCTATCAAATATTTACACCAATATTCATAACAGTAGCAAGTTTACAGTTATGAAGTAGCAATGAAATAATTGTATGGTTAGGGGTCACCACATGAGGAACTGTATTCAAGGGTCAAAGCATTAGAAAGGATGAGAACCACTGCTTTAACACCATGTTCTCCTTGGGATGTAATGGATGGTATGATGAGTGCAAAAATGACACAAATAATCTGTGGGAGGAATGGAGGGCTGAAGTAGTACCACAGGAACTTAATAGAGACAGGGTCCCTGGTGGCTCCGGAGTTGTCATATTATTCCCTATGTTGTCAGTTCCTAATTATATGTAGACGTGTCTGCATGCGGATATGTACATATGGGTTCAGGTTCCCTCAGAGGACAGAGCCATTGGATCCCTTTGATCTGAAGTCACAGAGTGCCCCAAGCTGCCAGTTCTGGATTTTGAGAACCAAATTCAGGTCCTCTGCAAAAGCAACAAATACTCTTAACCACAGAGCAGTCTTTCCAGCCCCTACATTCATTATGTTTTAAATACCCCTCCGTGTGTGTGTGTGTGTGTGTGTGTGTGTGTATGTGTGTGTGTGTGTGAATACCACCTGTTGTCAAATGAAGATACATAAAGATCATTAGAACAAGAGTTTAGGTTTCATTGGTTTGATGAATCCAATTAACAACAGTGAGTTAATAAGGGTATCAATATCCATGTGGCTCTGGGGTTCAAACCCTGAGTCTTATGCATACTAAAGGGACTCTATCATTGTACCTCCTGATCTGTCCATCATTAATTTTCACTGCAACTCAATTCAAACTACAGAAACAGAAAATCTAAACAAAAGTGATTACAAAGGTAATCTAGGATTTCAGTACAGAATTTAAAATCTATTTTAAAATTTAAATAGAATTCAGTAGAATAAATTTAAATCTATTTTTAAACACACACAACTCAATCAATAAAAGATGAACAATTGAATTAAAAATAAGCAAAGACCAGAATAGATATTTTCCAAAGAAGATATACCAATGGCTAAAATACACCTGAAGAGCTGTACAACATTGCTCATCAAATCAACATCACAAGAAGACATTCAGACTTACTAGGATGGCGAGGACCAAAGAGTCAAATCAGTGTTGGGATGATGTCATAATTCTGAAACTCTGACACATAGCTGATGTGATGTAAAATACTCAGCCATTTGGGAAAGCAGCCTCAGTTTTTCATATAGGTAAACATAGAGCTATCACATGGTAAGCAATTCAACTCCTAGGTTAAAAAAATGTATATCAACATAAAACATGAACTTGAGCTGGGCAGTGGTGATGCTCACTTTTAGGAAGTCAAAGGCCGGTGGAGTTCAAGGCCAATCTGGTCTACAGGACCAGTCCTGGGATAGCTAGGGCTATGCAGAGAAACCCTATCTCAGAAAATCGTGTGTGTGTGTGTGTGTGTGTGTGTGTGTGTGTGTGTGTGTGTTTGTGTGTGTGTGTACATGACTCTTCATAGCAACATTATTCAGAGAAGCAAAAGGGTAGAAACATTTCAGATGTCCAAATAAACATGATCCTGCTACAGCCAGAAAAATTAATGCAGTTCTGACACATGCTAAAATTTGTATGAATCTTGAAAGTATCAGGCCAAGGGAGGGAAGCTGACCTCAAAAGACCACATATTCTGTCATGCCATTCACATGTAGGTCTACAATAGAGAACTCTGTAGAAACAGAGAAACAGAGAGAGGGAGGGAGGGAGGGGGAGAGAGAGAGAGAGAGAGAGAGAGAGAGAGAGAGAGAGAGAGAGAGAGAGAGAGAGAGAAATGATTCCTTTGGGCTCTGCATAGAAGAAATAAGGGAATAAGATGATAGCTACAGGATGAGAGGCTCTTCTTTGACTCCAAACCTGACCTTAATGATGGGTGCATACCTTGTATATATATATCAAAAGGCACTAAGCTTTATCTTTAAAATAGATGTATTTAAGTGTATGTTATATACAAAACTGTATATTTAAAAAATACAGGCACTATTCATGCCAAATATAAAAATAAATCTAGGCCCTCATATGTATACTTATGAAATAATTTTCCGGTGATTGAGCATTGGGGAAACTCGCAGTTCTTTCCTTTGGATGTTGGAGAGAAGTAATCCATTCATTCTTGTATAATGTATAATGAAGCATGTTATACATTCTGTAGAATTCACTGGTTGATATTTTGCATTGTCCACTCATTTGTAACTGTGTAGTGTGTGTGGTGTAAAATATGTGTGTGTGTGTGAAACCTTCCCCATGCTATTTTTGAGACTTTACCCCTCAATGCAAATGTTGATTACACTATCTTATTCAGCCATTGGTACATCAGCATCATTACATACTCAATAGCATGAGTGAAAATTTACTTTTGTACTTAGTTTCATACATTATCTCAGAATTTTATTTATACACACAAAAACAACTTGAAAAAATTAATGATTCACATTATAGCATAGTCCACATGTTTTGGAGAATTTTGTCTCTTGTTAAATCTGAAAGCGCAAGGCCCAGTGAGACCGCGCGGTGGCGCTGCAGGTTAAGGAGACAGAGCTTAGGAACTGCTTCTGCAATTTCCTCTCAGGGCCAGTTTCTCACCACCTAGAAGCAAAAGATGTGCTCTCTTCGGCCAAAGCAAAGGAGGGTGTAAAACTTTAAATTTCCCATCTGGGGGGCTTGATTCCGACGTTCTGGACTGTGAGACAGTGCTGTCATCATCCTGGGCCCAGGAAAAGCTATCAAAAAGCAAACAGGAAAGAGGAAAGAGCCATGGAGCACAAACCGAGACAAAGGCAAGTCCTGATTTTCTTTGTTTTGCTGAGTGTGTCTGAGGCAGGCACGGAACTGGGTCCCTATTCCATAGAGGAAGAAGTGGAGAGGGGTACTTTTGTGGCAAATCTTGGGAAAGATCTGGGGGTGCAGCTGGCAGAGATATCTACCCGCAGGGCTCGGATAATTTCTCAGGAAAACAAAGAGCATTTGCAGCTCAATGTTCAATCTGGAGATTTGCTCATAAATGAGAAACTAGATCGAGAGGAGCTATGTGGCTCTACTGAGCCTTGTGCTCTTCATTTCCAAGTGCTAATGGAAAACCCTTTAGAGGTATTTCAGGCTGAACTGAGAGTGAAGGACATAAATGACCATTCTCCGGTGTTCAGTGAAAAAGAGATGGTACTGAGAATACCAGAAAACAGTCCTCTGGGAAGTACATTCCCTTTAAACAATGCTCTGGACTCAGACGTGGAAATTAACAACATTCAGAGCTATAAGGTCAGCTCGAACCCTCGTTTCCTGGCTGTAACCCGCAACCGCAGTGATGGCAGGAAGTACCCAGAGCTGGTGCTGGAGAAAGAACTGGATCGCGAGGAGGAGCCTGAGCTAAGGTTAACACTCACAGCCTGGGATGGTGGCTCTCCTCCCCGGTCTGGGATGGCACGGGTTCTCATTGAAGTAGTGGACATCAATGATAATGCACCCGAGTTTCAGCAACCAACGTACCAAGTGCAAATTCCGGAGAACCGCCCCACGGGGTCCCTGGTAGTCACAGTCTCAGCCAATGACTTAGACAGCGGAGATAATGGGAAAGTGTTGTATGCACTTTCTCAGCCTTCAGAAGATGTCAGCAAGACGTTAGAAGTAAATCCAGTAACAGGGGAAATTCGGCTGCGAAAAGAGGTAGATTTTGAAACAATTCCCTCTTATGAAGTGGATATTAAGGCCACGGATGGGGGAGGTCTCGCGGGAAAATGCACTCTGCTCCTGCAGGTAGTGGACGTGAATGATAATCCCCCAGAAGTGATGCTGTCTGCACTTACCAGCCAAGTTCCAGAAAACTCGCCGGATGAGGTAGTTGCTGTTTTCAGTGTTAGAGATCCTGACACAGGGAAGAATGGGAAGGTGATTTCCTCCATCCAGGAGGACATTCCCTTCCTTCTAAAACCTTCAGGAAAGAACTTTTACACTTTAATAACGAAGAGAGCGCTTGATAGGGAAGAAAGAGAACAATACACCATCACCATCACAGTTACCGACCTGGGCACACCCAGGCTCACAACCCAGCACACCATAACTGTGCAGGTCTCAGACGTCAACGACAATGCCCCCAACTTCACACAAACCTCCTACACCCTGTTTGTCCAGGAGAACAACAGCCCGGCCCTGCACATAGGCACCATCAGTGCCACAGACTCAGACTCAGGCTCCAATGCCCACATCACCTACTCCCTGCTGCCCACCCATGACCCGCAGCTGGCTCTCTCCTCGCTCATCTCCATCAATGCAGACAATGGGCAGCTCTTCGCGCTCAGAGCTCTGGACTATGAGACCCTGCAGACCTTTGAGTTCCACGTGCGCGCCACAGACCAAGGATCGCCAGCCCTCAGCAGCCAGGCCCTGGTGCGTGTGCTTGTGCTGGATGCCAATGATAATGCGCCCTTCGTGCTCTACCCTCTGCAGAACGCCTCTGCACCTTGCACTGAGCTGCTGCCCAGGGCAGCAGAGCCAGGCTACCTGGTCACCAAGGTGGTGGCTGTTGACCGCGACTCTGGCCAGAATGCCTGGCTGTCATTCCAGCTGCTCAAGGCTACGGAGCCAGGGCTGTTCAGTGTGTGGGCTCACAATGGTGAGGTGCGCATATCCAGACTGCTGAGTGAGCGTGATGCTCCCAAGCACAGGCTGCTGCTGCTGGTCAAGGACAATGGCAATCCTCAGAGGTCTGCCAGTGTCACTCTGCAGGTGCTGGTGGTGGATGGCTTCTCCCAGCCCTACCTGCCTCTGCCAGAGGGTGGCGCGCGACCCCACACTGGAGGAAGACTCCCCTCACGCTGTACCTGGTCATTGCTTTGGCTTCTGTGTCTTCGCTCTTCCTCTTGTCTGTGCTGCTGTTCGTGGGAGTAAAGCTGTGCAGGAGGGCCAGGACGGCCTCGCTGGGTGGCTGCTCTGTTCCTGAGGGCCACTTTCCTGGTCACCTGGTGGATATCAGTGGAGCAGGGACTCTGTCCCAGAGCTACCAGTATGAGGTATGTCTGATGGGCGATTCTTCTGGGACCAGCGACTTCAAATTCTTGCAGCCAGTTCACCCTAGCTCCCTGCCCCAGTGCTCTGGGAAAGAAATAGTGGAAAATTCTACTCTCCGCAATAGTTTGGGATTTAATCATTATTAGAAAGCTACTTAATAGATATTTACTTCCCAACATCATCTTGTTGATTAAATTCTGTATACTTGTTAGTAACAACAACTTTGATTTTCCATTTACTCATCACTTTTCAGGTTTATGCTTAATGTCGTAGTGTTGGTTTTACTCTTATTTATCACATAGAATTTCTTCATATGAGCCCAGTAAATAAAAAAAGCTTTATCTGCACAGTTAAAGTGACTGCTAAAACTTTCCTATCACTTTGCTTTTGTTGACCTCATTAGTTCTGCACATTTCATGTCAATGTTCTGTTCCTAGGCTTCTTGAATTATTAAAATATTGTGCTGCTCATTATGTACATATATACTACCTGGTACTTCTGCATTTCCTTTCTATGCTGGCTGTCTTGTTTATTAGTCCTTGGTTTTAATTACATATAATACTTGTCTTTTGCCGTGCAACCATTTTAGAATTCTAAATTTCTTTGTTTGTATATCTTGATTTGAAATGAATTTCTGTTGTAAGTAATAGAAATATCTATTCAATCTGAAAACAAACATGTTGTAAGTTATTGAGTTTGTGTAGATGTGTCTAAATTTAAGGGTGTGACGGCAAATTTTGTCATTCTAAGGCATCAAATAGAAGCATTTAATAATTCATTTTAATTCTGCATGGGAACCTTAGAGATAGACTTTGAGTTTCCAATGGCTTACAATCCAGTCGCATTCTGTAGAATAAACAGTGTATGTATATCACCAAGTAGATGTTGTGAATTTTCTATGCTGTGACTTTTCTATGCAGCAGAGCTGGGGTTTGAGGCACTATCTAATCTTTTTTTTTATGTATACACCCTAAGGTTTAATCTATGTAGTTTGCTCATAGTGAGAACCATAGATCATTCTAGGCTTTTGAATAAAATTCTTTGTAAGGAACATATTTTATTGATACATCCTTGCTTCCAACATCAATAAGATATGTGTTAGTCATAGTATTGGTCTTTTATTTAATGCACAGTAGTTATGTCATATTAGATTTCATTAAGAGGGTCACTTAAACAAAGGTGGGGCTTTTGTTCAACTATATAGATGGTGGCTATTATAAGAAAATAAATACAAATTAAAGGAAAGGAACAGTTTCAAAGTGTTAAGTGAAATAATATGATTTTCAGATGGTAGGGACTAGTGGACATTGGCTGTTTCTTGTCCTCTTCATAGTTCATTTGTGTGCACTTTGATTCAATAAACATTAGTGACTGAATGACTTGCCAAAGACACAGTTTCCATCCCATATATGTCACCTATTGAAGGGGTGGGGGGAGGTTTATGAAGCTGGAAGCAGTGCTATTTACATAATAAATACAAGTCACAATAGTACACATTCTGTGTCACAGGGGACGGATGGCATGATGGCTCAGTTCTGGATGCAGAGTAGCACTTCTCTTAAAGGAATGTGATACAGAGTGTGAATAAGATTTCTGGAGAATGTGTGAATCATTTCTTTTGCCCGTTTCCTGTGCTCCTGCGCACAGGAATTGTGGAATATGTTGTCAAAAGACGTGCTGACAATTTTTCTTTGCTTGCATGAGCCTGTGCCAGGGATGAAAGGACTGGCATGGAGTTCAATCTAGCAGTGAAACAACTTTACCACTACAAACCTATTCAAATGTCAGAATTTTAACTTTCCCATGAAGCTGTGAAGAATCAGTATGAAGGTATCTCTATCTCAGCATTACATTCACAAAACAAACAAAATGAAAAAATTAAAACAAGCGACTGTACACATAAAACTAGGAAATAGCGTTTTCAATCTGTTCGTGGCCACATGGTGGCGCTGCAGGCTAAAGAGACATGAGGAAAATTAACTGAGGCTGCACCAGAAGTCACTAACCAAAGAAGGAAAATCCTGACCACTGGGAGAAAAGCTGAGGCTCCTCAAGACTGAGAAAGGGAAAAGAAATCCTGGACACTTCCAGTTAAGTGGAACATCTAAGGTTTATAACCGCTGGGAGCTGTGGCTGGGCCTGCAGTGAGGAAATAAGAAACAATGGCAGCTAGAGGGTCACGCTTCTCCCGACAAAGGCAAGTGCTATTTCTGTTTCTGTTCGGGGGTCTGTGTTCGGCAGGTTCTATGTTTGGACCTTATTCAGTAACTGAGGAAACAGAAAGGGGATCATTTGTGGCGAATCTGGCAGAGGATCTGGGGCTAGAGGTGGAAACCCTGGCTGCAAAGAGAACTAGGGTGGCATCTGATGACAACAAGCAGCATTTGCTCCTGGATTTTCACACTGGAAATTTGCTCACAAATGAGAAACTGGATCGAGAGAAGCTGTGTGGCTCCACAGAGCCCTGCATACTGTATTTCCAAATTTTAATGGATAACCCCTTTCAGATTTACCGGGCTGAGCTGAGAATCGTGGATATAAATGACCACTCACCCTCATTCCAGGACAAAGAGATGATTTTAAAAATACTAGAAAACACAGCTGTAGGAACAGCATTTCGCTTAGAGAGAGCACTAGACTCAGATGGAGGACGTAATGGCATCCAAAACTATACCATCAGCCCCAATTCTGTTTTTCATATTGCAATTCATGGCAATGATGAAGGGATGATATATCCAGAGCTTGTGCTAGATAAGCCTCTAGATTGGGAGGAGGAGCAGGAGTTCAGTTTAACACTCACAGCATTTGATGGAGGGACTCCACCCAGGTCCGGAACAGCCACTATACAAATTCTGGTCATGGACATCAATGATAATGCCCCACAGTTTTCCCAGGAACTTTATCAAACCCAGGCTCCAGAAAATAGCCCAATAGGACTTCCTATTGTTAAAGTCTCTGCAGAAGATGTTGATTCAGGAGTCAATGCAGAAGTATCCTATTCATTTTTTGATGCCTCCGAAGATATTCGAGAAACCTTTCAAATCAACCCTGTCTCTGGGGAAATCGTGCTCAAAGCCGTGCTTGATTATGAGATGGTGAAGTCCTATAAGTTAAATATACAGGCAGCTGATGGTGGGGGCCTTTCTGCTAGATGTACGGTTTTAGTTCATGTTTTAGACATTAATGACAACCCTCCTGAACTGACCATATCATCACTTGTCAATGAAGTTGTTGAAAACTCCCCCGAAACTGTGCTGGCAGTTTTTAGGATTAACGACAGAGACTCTGGAGAAAATGGAAAGACCGTTTGCTATATTCAAGAAAATCTGCCCTTCGATCTAAGACGGTCTGTAGATAATTTTTACATCCTGATGACAGAAGGAGCTCTGGACAGAGAGAGCAGAGCTGAGTACAACATCACCATCACAGTTACCGACCTGGGCACACCCAGACTCACAACACAGCACACCATAACAGTGCAGGTCTCAGACGTCAACGACAACGCCCCCAACTTCACACAAACCTCCTACACCCTGTTTGTCCAGGAGAACAACAGCCCCGCCCTGCACATAGGCACCATCAGCGCCACAGATTCGGACTCAGGCTCCAATGCCCACATCACCTACTCGCTGCTGCCCACCCATGACCCGCAGCTGGCCCTCTCCTCGCTCATCTCCATCAATGCAGACAATGGGCAGCTGTTCGCGCTCAGGGCGCTGGACTATGAGACCTTGCAGACCTTCGAGTTCCACGTGCGCGCCACAGACCAAGGCTTGCCAGCGCTCAGCAGCCAGGTGCTGGTGCAAGTGTTGGTTTTGGACTCCAACGACAATGAACCCTTTGTGCTCTACCCTCAGCAGAACGCCTCTGCACCCTGCATGGAGCTGCTGCCCAGGGCGGCAGAGACAGGCTACCTGGTCACCAAGGTGGTGGCTGTGGACCGTGACTCTGGCCAGAATGCATGGTTGTCATTCCAGCTGCTCAAGGCTACGGAGCCTGGGCTATTCACCGTGTGGGCTCACAATGGCGAGGTGCGCACCTCCAGGCTGCTGAGTGAGCGCGATGCTCCCAAGCACAGGCTGCTGCTGCTGGTCAAAGACAATGGCGATCCTCAGAGGTCTGCCAGTGTCACTCTGCATGTGCTGGTGGTGGATGGCTTCTCTCAGCCCTACCTGCCTCTGCCCGAGGTAGCGAGTGACTCTGCCCAGGATGAGGATGAGCTCACTCTGTACCTGGTCATTGCCTTGGCGTGTGTCTCTTTACTATTCCTCTTGTCTGTGTTACTGTTTGTCGGGGTGAGGCTGTGCAAGAGGGTCAGGGCGAAAGCGCTGAGGGACTGCTCTGTCGCTGAAGGACACTTTTCTAGCCACCTGGTGGATGTCAGCGGCATGGGCACCCTGTCCCAAAGCTACCAATATGAGGTGTGTCTGATGGGAGGCTCAGGTGATACCAGTGATTTCAAGTTCATGAAACCAATTTACCCTGGTGTTCATTCTCATGGTTCCCAGATCAATGCTGATGAAAAGCCCACATTTTGAAGTCTCTAATTTTGCGTAAGGTTTCATCCCATTTAATGGATGTATGATACAGCCATAGGAGTACTAGTTTAGATGGGCAGTAGTTTCGACCCAGCACAACACAGCAGAACTTCATTTTCAACTTCCAAGTAGGTTACATATAAATTTTTCAGTGTTTTTTCATTAGTGATATTTTTTAGTGGAGTATGTACCACTTTAAGTCTGAGGTTTTCATCCTTTCATAGCACACAATAATTTGTTGTCATTTCCCATTACAGAAAATTGAGATTTGGGTTTTTTGTCTTGTCTCCTTTTGTTGCTAATCATTAACCCCAAGCCTTTTGCATGCTAAGCAAATGGTATATCATTGAGATCTATCTCTAACTAGTAACTATTTTTAAAAAGTACAGGATTTTTAACTCTCTTTGACTTTGTTTTTTGCCAATTTCATGCATCTATGTTGTGCATTTTGTTTCTTATAACCTCCTCCATCTTCCTGCAATGCCTATTATTTCCCTTTGTTTATGATTTTGAGTATTCTGGTAATTCTTGTGTTAGCATACTAATTAATGAGTGTCTGCAAACATAGGTCATTCATCTCTACCCTCTGCTCTTCCCCTGCTTCCCTTCCTTTTCCCTGCAAGTCTCCCATTCAGCTTTCTTGACACAGCTGTTTCATTGCCCTTCTTGCTCACCTTCCCCAAGAGCTCTTTTTGGTGCTCATTCTTGCTGACATATAAAACAGATTGTGTCATATAATGCAAATACAAGGTAATAGTCTGCATAAAAATCAACATAAATTTGAACACATTTAAAGTTTGTGTGGCAATACTTATGGGCTGTTGGAAAGATACTTTTTATTTTATATTGGAACTTAAAGAATTGTCAAATTTTAAAATTGAAATAAATTAAAGGTTATAGAGAAAACATTTTTTTTTCATCTCCAGTCACTTTCTACACAGTTGTTCCTCAAATCTGTTCTACTTCAGGTGATATGTTTAGACTGCTTTATCTTCATAATTAACTTTTCTGTGTTACCCACTCAGTGCAAAAGGATTTACAGTTCTTATTTCCCATTAATAGACACGCACACAAGAATTGTGGATTTCCCTTTTCCTAGTTTCCTGGTATAATTGTCAGAAAATGTCAGTTTTGTTTCTGTGGGTTCCAAGGCCTCATAGATGAGTACCATCCATGAAACTAATATTAATATCACCCAGCTAGGTCTCTTATGTGTGCAGACTTAGTAATGCAGCATTATTACATTTCTTTTCTTGGAAGTATCTTTCCCAGAGTTGATGGCTGCTGTTTTAGATTTGGCTAAATATCTATTTAATACTACTGATTTTTCTGCCTCTCTCTTTCCAGGCCAAAGTAGAGGGTTACCATAGGGTGTATCCTCCATTCTTTCTACTGATTTTTCACATGATGGTCCTCTTGATTAACGTTTTTGCCTTCAAATATTCAAATATAAGATACAAACTATTTGTGCTTATTTCCTACAGAGTTTTCATTCATAGCTCTTTTTCATTTAGACTGTTTACCTTATGGCTGTCATGCTTTTTATTATTTTTATTTAATTAATCTGTTTTATATTTTACCTGCCAACCACAGTTCCCCTTCCCTCCTGTCCTCCCATTCCATCCCCCACAAACTGCCCTCTACCCCTTCCCCATCCACTCCTCCCTTCAGAAAGTGTCAGGCCTCACATGGACTTGAAGAAAGCCTGCCAGATCAAATTAAGGTAGGACTGAGTTCCTCTCCCTGCATAAAGGCTGAGAGAGTTGATTCAGCATGGGGAACAGGTTGCCAAAAGCCAGTTAGTCATCTCCAGGGGCAGGTCCTGATCTCACTGCTAGGAGCCTTACAAGCAGGCCAAGCTACATAACTGTCATACACACACACATACACACATGCATGCACACACGCACACACACACGCATGCGTGCACACGCACACGCGCAAGGCACACATAGGCAGGCATGCACGCATGCACACAGAGGGTAGGTCTCATGCAAGCTCCCTAACTGTTGGTCCAGGATCCATGTTCTCCCACTAACTCAGGTCAGCTGTCTCTGTGAATTCCTCCATCATGACCTGAAGCCCCCTGGCTCATAAAATCCCTCCTCCCTTTCTTCAGGAGGACTCCAGGAGCTAGGCCCAGTATATCTGCTTCCATCAGTTACTGGGCAATGGCTCTCTGGTGACAGTTAAGGTAGTCACCAATCTGATTACAGTAAATGGCCAGTCAAGGTACCCTCTCCACAAGGATGACCTCAGCTAATACCACGAGCAATAGCAGAGAGGTTATCGTGCTTTTAATGCTTGTCCCATACTGCCCACCTTTTATAGACTCCAGTATCATTTCTGAGTTTACTTTCTTAATTGGTTGGAATGCAATTTCATTAAAATAGATGCAACTTTTGGTAATTTACATAGTGAAGCAGTCTTTTCGTTTGATTGATAGTTTGACTGGGTATAAAAGTATAATTTGAAAAATTTCCCTCAGAATTAAAAAGCACTTTTTTTTTCTTAATTTTGTGGACTTACCTTTCACAAATTCTACTCTAAACTGTATCTCATTTACTGCAATATTTTCCCCTTTCATTCTGGAGGTGTTGGAAATACCATAACAGGAACCATTTATGTGTTAACACTTTCACAAGAACATATACTGTCAATGTTCAGATTCTCAGTTCAAAAACAATTCAATTTTAGTTTGCTGTAATTTATCTCCTACTAATTTTCTAAAACTTTTTATTAAATATTTTATGTAAGCTTTCCCCTTTTTGGCAAATAAACACTTCTAGAACCTTTTCGGTTCTTCTAATTTTTAAAAAAATATTTGTTGGAAATGTAATATGTGTTATTATCTGTAATTTTTCCTCTTAGAATATATTACAAGGACATACTTGTACAGCATTATTAACATTACATAGCCATTTTAAAAATTAGGAGTGAGTCAGGGTAGTTGACGAAATTTACCAAATTATATAGTTTGTACAGGACATTTAAATCCCCTAATCTATTCTGTTTTCTTTTTTACCTCTTGAAGCAGGTTCTCAAATATTAGTGCAGGGTAGCCTCAAATATGAAATCTTTGTGTCTCTTCTTCTTGAGTATTGGGACTACAGGTAGTATGTAGTAAGTGTATCAGTAAGTATCAGTAAGTGTAAGAATTTATTTGTGTTTTCATGATTTCCAGGTTAGAATTCAGGACTATCCATGGAGTGAGATTATGTGTCCTTGATAGATCTTGTGTTCTACACTCTGAGAACATTGCTACAAAAGAGACTTGAAATCTCACTATGCAAAACTCTAAAGTTCTACTATCCTTTAGTTTAACGTCACATTTTTGTTCAGCATGACTTGTATCAAAGACTAGAAAAAGTGTGCTAATATCTCCAAATCAAGTATCCATTCTCTAACTTGATTAACTTTTCTCTCTGTAGACACAGAACAGAGAATTCAACACTGTAAATACTAATAATACAGTCTCCATCTCATGATTAACTTTAACCTTCCAGTTTCTAGAGTGTTAATGGTGTTCTGGGAGACAAACATTTAATTGCCCTATCTCCAGGGATGATTTTTTAGCCATTTCCAGGAACGTCATCCATCTGCTTTCTGTCATTAAACACATCTGTGCTGTCCTTTTTGCATTTTAATTTTGTGAGTTCTCAATATTATTACTTTCCTATCAGCTTTTAGGTATTTAGGATAACTGCATATTACCAGCACACATACCTTTCGGTTTTTATCTTTTGTGCTGGTTTCTTTTTCAACCATAGTTAGAACTTAAATTTTTAAAGATTCAACTTAAACAGCATTTTTCAACTCCAACTATCCCATCCATTCCTGGATGCTTTTAAACTTTCAATCGTAAACATCATTGATGAGCTTCTAGCATCTACTTCCAACAGTCTCCTCCTTCAGTAGCAATCATAAACTCCAGTTAAGGATACCCACCAAATTTCAGAGATGATGCTTGTTAAGGTTAAACAAGCAAAGGGCAGGTTTTTAGGCTCTATGACTAAAAGCTATCCTTATGATGCTTTATTCACATAACCATATGTTTTGTCACTACTCAGACATGGCATGAATTGGTTTCATCAGAGGTTAAATTTTTGCTCTCTTTAGGAAAGCAAATCTCTAACTTTTCTCCATGAACTTCTGTGTATTGTTGGGAGAATATTTTGGGAACCTGGCAGAGGTCAGAATTAGGAGTAAGAATGTGCTTTACACAAAACAGCATGTCTGTCTATCACTTACTGAATTTTTGTCACTTGCAAGAAACTGGAACAAAACTATGAATTTATATAATATGTTCCTTAACGTGTACCATCTACTGGCTCATTCAGTTTCGTAACCCTACGAGAACCTCTTGAAACTTTCCATGGACGCTTTTTCTTTCCCTTTCCAACTGCGAAAGGCCTGGTAGGAAGGGATGTATTAAACTTAACAATATTCCTGAGATACTTAACAAATGCTTTTAAACAAGTACTAACATCACCATGTGCAATAGAGGAACACTAATGAAAAATACACTAGTAACCGCATAAACAATAAATGTTTGTTTCTGGGGGACATTCGATGCAAATGGAATTTAAGTAGCATTCATCAAACTGTGAAAATCGGAGAAAACACATGGTGGCGCTGCAGGATAATGCTACTGAAAAGAAATTACATTAAATGCTGCAGACACTCAGCCCCAGTGAGCACGGAAAACTAGGAAGAAATAACAAGTCATGGAGGTGCTACCAAGAAACGGTTTATCCTTCGGATTCTGAGGATCCTGTGGACAAATAAAAGGGCACATTTTACAGAACTGCGTGGTGGAGCAGAAGTGATTCTTTCAAAAGCGTGCTGGAAAGGAGTAATGGAGAACCCACAGGAAAGCTGTCTGCAGACCAGGCAAGCAAGGCAAGTCCTGCTTCTCTTTGTTTTGCTGGGAATAGCTCAAGCACACGGTAGGCCTGGGAGACTTTCTGTGGTGGAGGAGACGCTGAGTGGGGCCTTAGTAGTCAATCTGGTAAAGGACCTGGGGCTTGAGTTGGGTGAACTGTCTTCACGCGGGGCTCAAGTGGTCTCTAAAGATAACAAACTGCCTTTGCAATTGAACATAAATTCAGGAGATTTGCTCCTAAGTGAACCTCTAGACAGGGAGGTGCTGTGTGGCTCCTCCGAGTTCTGCATGCTGCATTTCCAGGTGTTAATGAAAAATCCCTTACAGATTTTGCAAGTTGAGTTGGAGGTCAAGGATATCAATGACAACTCCCCAGTATTCTTGGAAAAGGAAATGGTTCTAGAAATCCCAGAGAATAGCCCTGTTGGTGCTGTGTTCTTACTAGAAAGTGCGACAGATTTAGATGTAGGAACCAATGCTGTGAAAAATTATGTGATAAGCCAGAACTCCCATTTTCATGTTACAATGAGAGTTAATCCTGATGGCAAGATATATCCAGAGTTAGTTTTGGACAAGGCACTGGATTACGAGGGAGCAGCCTGAGCACAGTCTCATCCTCACTGCTTTGGATGGTGGGACTCCACCCAGGTCTGGGACTGCCTTGGTTCGGGTGGAAGTCATAGATATTAATGACAACTCCCCGAGTTTGAGCACATGTTCTATGAAGTGAAGATTCCAGAAAATAACATCCTTGGCTCACTGGTTACCACTGTGTCAGCTTGGGATCTAGACTCCGGAATTAATGGTGAAGTATCCTATGCCTTTTCTCATGCATCAGAGGATATCCAAAAGAAATTTGCAATTAATAAAAACTCTGGAGAAATACGATTAATAGGATATTTGGACTTTGAAACAACTGAATCCTACTCAATAATTGTTAAAGCTACAGATCGGGGAGGACTTTTTGGGAAATCTACAGTAAGAATTCAGGTGATGGATGTTAATGACAATTTTCCTGAAATTGATGTGTCATCATTTACCAGTCCAATCCCAGAAAATACCCCGGATACTTTAGTTATGGTTTTTAGTATCCAAGACAAGGACTCAGGAGAGAACAGCAGAATAGTATGTTCTATTCCGGAGGACCTCCCGTTTGTGCTAAAGTCTTCGATTGAAAATTATTATCACTTAGAAACGGAGGGCTCACTGGACAGAGAAAGCAGAGCTGAGTACAACATCACCATCACGGTCACCGACCTGGGCACACCCAGACTCACAACCCAACACACCATAATTGTGCAGGTGTCTGATGTCAACGACAACGCCCCCGCCTTCACACAAACCTCCTACACCCTATTTGTTCAGGAGAACAACAGCCCCGCCCTGCACATAGGCACCATCAGCGCCACAGATTCAGACTCAGGCTCCAATGCCCACATCACCTACTCGCTGCTGCCCACCCACAACCCACAACTGGCCCTCTCCTCGCTTATCTCCATCAATGCAGACAATGGGCAGCTGTTCGCGCTTAGGGCTCTGGACTATGAGGCCCTGAAGACCTTCGAATTCCAAGTGGGAGCCACAGACCAAGGCTCTCCAGCACTCAGCAGCCAGGCCCTGGTGCGCGTGCTCGTGCTGGACGCCAATGACAATGCGCCCTTTGTGCTCTACCCTCTGCAGAACGCATCGGCACCTTGCACTGAGCTGCTGCCCAGGGCAGCAGAGCCGGGCTACCTGGTCACCAAGGTGGTGGCTGTGGACCGTGACTCTGGCCAGAATGCCTGGCTGTCCTTCCAGCTGCTCAAGGCCACGGAGCCTGGGCTGTTCAGTGTGTGGGCTCACAATGGCGAGGTGCGCACCTCCAGGCTGCTGAGTGAGCGTGATGCTCCCAAGCACAGGCTGCTGCTGCTGGTCAAGGACAATGGCAATCCTCAGAGGTCTGCCAGTGTCACTCTGCATGTGCTGGTGGTGGATGGTTTCTCTCAGCTCTACCTGCCTCTGCCTGAGGTGGCACACAGCCCCACACAGGAAAAAGACGTATTGACTTTGTACTTGGTCATTGCGTTGACGTCTGTGTCTTCGCTCTTCCTCTTGTTTGTGCTATTGTTTGTAGGGGTGAGGCTATGCAGGCGGTCCAGGGCAGCCTCTATGGGTGGCTGCTCTGTTCCTGAGGGACACTTTCCTAGCCATCTGGTGGATGTCAGTGGTGCGGGGACACTGTCCCAGAGCTATCAGTATGAGGTGTGTCTGATGGGAGGTACTGGGACTGATGAGTTCAAATTTCTGAAGCCAATTTCCCCCAATCTACCACACCAGTTCCCTGGGAAAGAAATAGAGGAAAGTCCTACTCTCTACAATAGTTTGGGGTTATTTAGTGACCATAACTGATGGTATATCATATGTATTGCATCTTATGGCTATTCCATTCGATGAGTATTTCTCCCATTTTGCATGATCTTCAAATCTCCTAGTGTTTGCATCTTATTTTGTCCCTCCCACTTTTCAATTTATGTCAGCACTGGTAGTAAGATTGTAGTTTGTTTTGTGGCCAGTTCTCTAGGATGTCCTAACTTGTAACGAATTTTCCTCCTTAACACAAAATCACCCCCATCTGTCTTTTCCAGTTGCACTTTACCTTCACTTTGCTTATGATGAAATAAACAAACCACTTCAGGAACAATTGAAATGTTCAAGTGTACCATTCCTTGACTCCCTTTGTGGGATTTTTCTTGTGTCTTATTATTATGGATGCTATTTTTCAAGTAAGTTTGTTTTTAAAATCACGCTACCTTAGATATTATTTTAAATGTTTGTTACTATTGACTATAGTAATATATTGGAAAATTTATACTATGATACAACCATTAAGCTTTTTGAAAGGGAGACCATAGTGATTCTGGAGATGGCTCAGTGATAGGACTCCAAATAGTTCACAACACAAAATAAACAAGTGGGGACAGTGGTAGTCTATTTAATAATAAGCACATGAATACTGTAGCCACTTGCAGAATCTTGGAATATGAGGTTTTAATTTTACAAATGTTTTACTAATGTCACAAAAACAGAATGTAAGCCAGATGTACAGGTACCTAAAAAATAGTTTGGATAGAATAAAGTAAGCCTGTGAGATAATATATAAATTTGCTCATGTTCTCTCTGAAATAAATGAACATGCACTGAATACTAATTAACATGTAAAAACATGCTGTGTGTGTATTATCCAACATTCAAACCTAACAGGAAGAAATGTTTTGTTCTCAGTACTTAGCCTATTGTGAACTTGAGATTTACTATTTTACTATTGCTTAAACTTCCTGATATGGTCACAAGCCGCTAAGTCAGTCACAAACTCTACTGAAGAGTAGCATCCAAAAAGTTGGTGACCACTTTATTTTGGATGTATGAAAATGTCATACATGTGTAGCACTGAGAGTTTGAAGAGATCATTATTTATATTCTAATTTTAAAAAAATTAAGTTCAACTGACACACAGAGGGGAGTTTATCTTGTGTTGAGAGGGGGGCAGCCTATAATGGCTCTTGCCCTTGATAGTCTGACAACTCTACAGGGAAAAATATAATGGATGGGAGATGAAGTTTCCAATAAGTTTCCTTAAAAGTCTAAAGTCTATACGTATAGGAGGAGGAAAATGTAGATGAGAAAATTAATTATCATGGAAAAGTAGTAAGGCATAAGGGTAATAGTGGGGGGAAGGACTAAGTGATGATGTTTCCAATCCAATCTTCCTCTTGAAGATATTTAACATTGTATATTTTTAAACTAATTTTTAATTAGTTAATTAACATGCCTCGAATGTCCAAGACAATTCAGTATTTATAATTTTTGAATGCTAGAATTTCATTATCAGCCCATTGGTCTATGCATCCAGGCAAAATGTGGATATGGGCTAGTTAAATTTAATTTCCCACTTTAAGAAGTAGAAGTTAAAGCGGGTTTTCTCCTTTAAATGAAAATGTCTTTGTATAGAGAACGAAAATCACAGAATAACAGTAAATCAAAACCAAGTATTAAGATTACCTCCTGTCATTATGGTACTGAGTGGGGGAATAGATTAGTGGAGGACCAATTAAAGCATTATAGCATGCCAGACATGATCCAAAGATTACAGAAGTAAAACAACAACAACAAAAATTAGTACATAATCACTTCACATGCATCAGTGTGTGTGTGTGTGTGTGTGTGTGTGTCTTCTATTACAATTTCAATTCCTATATACTGATCTAAAGAAATAACATGCATCTACACAAAACCATTTACAAACAAATATCCATATTAGTGTTGTACTTAGTACTAAAAAGTTAAACACCCCAAATACACATCAACTGATAACTAGATAAACCAAATAAAGTATTTCCATATAATGAAATTGTTATAAATGAGCAATAAAATAAATGTAATACGATATACACTCTTAGTTACAGTTATATGACTGTGATGAAACACCATGACCAAAACAACTTGGGGAAGACAGGGTTTATTAGGCGTATGCTTCCTCATCAATGTTCATCACTGAAGGAAGTCAGGGCAGGGCCTCAAACAGCATAGGAACCTGGAGGCAAGAGCTGGCACAGAGGCCATTGAGGAGTGCTGCTTACTGGCTTGCTTTCCAAGGCTTGTTCAGCCTTGGAAGGATTTCCTACATTCCTTTGCTTTCACAATCCTCAAACTTCTTAACCAAGGTTGGTTTCCATTTTCCTTGCAACAATTCTTTTGAAAGTGGTATTTTTAAGGGCATAAGAGATGTTTGCATACATTATGTAATGCTATATTACCAAATCAAAGAAAGGCAACTACACACTGCTTTGTAAAAGGCTTCCTCTTTTGTGTAACAGTGTCAATGCAAATGGCTATATAAATAGAGCAGCTTTGCTTCTTGTGGTCCTTCTAGACTTCACTCCAAGTGACTGTTCCAACATTCCCCATGGCAAACTTATAGTCTGTATGGCTGTAACTTCTCACTATCATATCTATATTCTAGATGGCTTTGGGAGAAGATGACTATTTATACCTCTTCTGTCCCAGACAAGAAAGTAGTAAACAAAAACTCTGCTCTCAGTCCATCTGTGAAATTGCCATGGTCAAGGGAGGCGCAAACAGATCAGCTCAGTTGCTGTGATAAAACATAACCAAGGGCAACTTATTTCTAAAAGTGCTTACCTTGAGGCTTATGTTTTTAGAGAGTTAGAGCCCATGATGGTGGAGCAAGTGTCTGGTGGCAGGAACAGCCTGAGAACTCACATCTTGATCTGCAAATTTGAGACAGAGAGAAAATAATGGGAATTTCATGAGTCTTTCTAAGCCTCAAAGTCTGCCCAAAGAGATACTCTTTCTCCAACAATCCATGGCTCCTAATCCTTCCCAAATAATTCCACCAACTGGGGACCAAATATTCAAACATAGGAGTCCAGAGCAGGCAGTATCATTCAAACCACCCACACCATGTGTTTGGACACACATAGAAGCATGGTACATATTTTAGCAGATGTTTTCAGAGTCGTACACAAATACTGCCTTACATACAATGCACAATTTTACTATTTACTTTTTCCTCGAATTCAGATTATTTTCTGATGTTCCTTATTCTCATTTTCTTAAAATTCTGTTTGCCTTTCAAAGACTGATTTTAAACCCTGGGTCTTCTTTGTTTTAATAAAGATGCCTATTTTCCTTTTTTCTGTAAGTGAACATTGGTTCTAGTATTCTGTGTACAAAAATTTTACAAATGCCCATGTATTTCCAAAATAAGAGTAGCACTTCTCCATGACCTACACAAGCACTCACTCGTATATTTTAAAGTATCCCTGGATTATTTACAATACCCAATGCCTGATAACAATGGAAAGTCTTACATACTCAATACAAATGAAATTTTGAGGATATGTTATGCTTTTTTGTTTTTATAATTTTATTGTTTTGGACTTAGGGATTGAATCTGAACCCCAATTAGCATACTGAACACATACCACTTCCAAGCTGCCTCCCTATATTTCGATTATTTTCCCTTAACATCTAGTTACTTCTTTATGTTTAAACCCATTAGTTTCTGTGGTAATGAACTTAGGAGGTAACACTATCAGCATCTTATTTTTAATAGGCAGGGAAACAAAGGTATATAATTTGACCAGGTCTATAGGTAATGAGTGATAGTACCAGGAATATATGTTGACATATTGGTTCCAAAACCTATATTCCCAAATATTACCCATGCCCTAGGTCATAGTTACTTATCTTTTCTATGTTTCCAATATTCTTTACCTATGCATTGTTATATTTTAAATGCTAGCTTATCAATTTTCCAGTTTGGAAGTTGTATAAAACAGATCATCTTATTTGCATCATATCTTCACACACACACACACACACACACACACACACATATATATATATATATACATATATGTAGATATGTGTATATGCATATGTGCACATGTGTTTTTAGATAATGTCCCACTACATAGTCTTCACTGGTATGGAGCTCACTATGTAGACCAGGCAGACCTCAGACTCTTAGAGATGCCCCTGCCTCTGAGTTCTGGGATTAAAGGCATGCACCACTATACCCTAATATTTTATAAATATAAAATCAAGAAATCTAATGCTTCCATGGTTTAAGTTAACTGCTAGCAAAAGTAGTATGTTTTATATTTTTCCTGACTTACATGAGAGAGAGTACAATGTAATGGAGTTACTAGTTATATTATGGACTCATCCCAACAAATATTTACCAGAGAGGAAGTATATATTTGCAACTACTAAAGAGTTGTCTAGAAATAAATATTATTTATTTATTTGGGGGAATTTTAATGATCCTGTTTTGAGTTGGACATTCAAAGAATGAGTTGTTTGATTGGGAGTGTGGACTTTGTTTGGACCCTAATCCAAACAAGCCAACAAGAGACATTTTGTAGAAAAGTAGGAGAGTCCAAAAAGACTGAATTGTAAGTTATATCTAAGAATTATTTCTAAATATGTCAATTATGGTAATAATGTTATAATTATATTTGAAGGGAATTGGTAACTAGAAATAATGAATATTTAGAGATATACATAGTCTATGTGAAACTTACTTTTGAATATTCTAGATAGGTGTATTTACAGATTGATTTGGGAGAAAAATATTAAATGAAAAAATTCACAGAGACACATGGTGGCGCTATAGGATAAGATGAAATAGTGCATAGGCCGCTCTGTGTGTTCTGCCGTCCAGAGGACGAGAGAACAGCCAATTCATTGAGAAAGGCGATATTTCAGGAGATTCACCTACAGAGCTGCCAAGGGATTTTCAATAGAAAAATCGGATCTTCGTCTCTCCAAATTGGGACCAAATTTAATTTTGGAACAAAGGAGGTCAACTGCAGGAACTATGGGAACTAGAAGGACGCTCATTCTGTGGAAAAGGCAAGTCTTGGTTTTCTTTGTTTTGCTGGGATTGTCTTGGGCGAGTACCGACTCTTTGCACTATTCTGTAGAGGAGGAAACAGAAGCTGGCTCTTTTGTGGCTAATCTGGCAAGGGATCTGGGCCTGGGGGTTGCGGAGCTGTCCTCCAGGGAGGCCAGAGTAGTGTCAGATGATAATAAAAAGCATTTACACCTTGATTTGCTGACCGGAGATATGCTCTTGAGTGAGAGACTGGACCGGGAAGAGCTGTGTGGCTCCACCCAGCCCTGCATGATGCCTTTTCAGGTGGTACTGGAAAACCCTCTACAGTTTTATCGAGCTGAGCTGCATGTCAGAGATATAAATGATCACCCCCCCAAGTTCCTGGATAAGGAAATAACTATTAAAATACCAGAAAGTGCAACTATTGGATCCACATTCTTAATGGAGAATGCACAAGATCTGGACATAGGAAGCAACAGTCTACAGGACTACAGCATTGGCCCCAATTCTCATTTCTATGTTAAAAGTCATGATAATGGTAATGGAAAGATATATCCGGAGCTGGTTCTAGACAGAGCTTTAGACCATGAGGAGGAATCTGAGCTTAGATTGACACTTACAGCACTGGATGGTGGGTCTCCACCCAGGTCTGGGACAACATCCATTCTCATAAAGGTATTGGATATCAATGATAATGTTCCTGAGTTTGCCGAGAGTTTATATGAGGTTCAGGTCCCAGAAGACATGCCCATTGGTTCCAGTATTATTGCCATCTCTGCTAAAAGATTTAGATTCAGGAAATTATGGGACAATATCATATTCATTTTTGCATACATCAGAAGTTATTAGAAAAACCTTCGACATCAACCCAGCATCTGGGGAAGTCAACCTGAGGTCATTACTGGATTTTGAAGTAATACAATCCTATTCTGTAAATATCCAAGCAACAGATGGTGGAGGTCTTTCAGCAAAATGCACTCTTTTAGTCAAAGTATTAGATATTAATGACAATGCTCCAGAAGTGACCATGTCATCAATTACAAAGACAATTCCAGAGAATGCTTCCGAGACCCTGGTCGCTCTTTTCAGTGTCCGAGATCAAGACTCTGGGGACAATGGAAAAATTCTTTGCTCTATTGAGGATGACCTTCCATTCATCCTGAAACCCACCTTCAAGAACTTTTTCACTCTACTTACTGAAAAAGCACTGGACAGAGAGAGCAGAGCTGAGTACAACATCACCATCACAGTCACCGACATGGGCACACCCAGGCTCACAACCCAGTACACCATAACAGTGCAGGTGTCTGATGTCAACGACAACGCCCCCGCCTTCACACAAACCTCCTACACCCTGTTTGTCGAGGAGAACAACAGTCCTGCCCTGCACATAGGCACCATCAGTGCCATAGACTCAGACTCAGGCTCCAATGCCCACATCACCTACTCGCTGCTGTCCACCCACGACCGGCAGCTGGCCCTCTCCTCTCTCATTTCCATCAATGCTGACAACGGGCAGCTGTTCACGCTCAGAGCTCTGGACTATGAGGCCCTACAGACTTTCGAGTTCCGCGTGGGAGCCACAGACCAAGGTTCGCCTGCACTCAGCAGCCAAGCGCTGGTGCGCGTGCTCGTGCTGGACGCCAATGACAATGCGCCCTTCGTGCTCTACCCTCTGCAGAATGCCTCTGCTCCCTGCACTGAGCTGCTGCCCAGGGCGGCAGAACCAGGCTACCTGGTCACCAAGGTGGTGGCAGTGGATCGCGACTCTGGCCAGAATGCCTGGCTGTCCTTCCAGCTGCTCAAGGCCACGGAGCCAGGGCTGTTCAGTGTGTGGGCTCACAATGGTGAGGTGCACACCTCCAGGCTGCTGAGTGAGCGCGATGCTCCCAAGCACAGGCTGTTGCTGGTGGTCAAGGACAATGGCAATCCTCAGATGTCTGCCAGTGTCACTCTGCATGTGCTGGTGGTGGATGGCTTCTCTCAGCCCTACCTGCCTCTGCCGGAGGTGGCACAGGAACCCGCACACGACGAAGATGCACTCACGCTGTATCTGGTCATTGCCTTGGCTTCTGTATCTTCTATCTTCCTCTTGTCTGTGCTGTTGTTCGTGGGTGTGAGGCTGTGCAGGAGGACCAGGGCGGCCTCTATGGGTGGTTGCACAGTGCCTGAGCGACACTTTCCTAGCCACCTAGTGGATGTCAGTGGGGCAGGAACCCTGTCCCAGAGCTACCAGTATGAGGTGTGTCTGATGGGAGGTACTGGGACAAATGAATTCAAATTCCTGAAGCCGGTCATCCCCAGTCTTCAACTTCACGAAACCAGTTCTAATATGCAAGAAAAGGAAAACTTTACGGATAGTCTTGGATTTAATATACAATGAAAATCTCCTTTAAAGTCTTAATATTTTTTCTTTTATTAATAGATTGCAGATGCTTTTTTTCTTAGTCTGTAATGAATTTTATATTTTGTTGATGCTGCATGCGTTTTCATTTTTTCTTTTATTAATAGATTGCAGATGCTTTTTTTCTTAGTCTGTAATGGATTTGATGTTTTGTTGGTGCTGCATGCGTTTTCGTTTTTCTCACAGTAGTTTTAAAAATCTTTATGGGGCTACAGTGACGTAAAGAAACAATCTGCACCTTTTGTTTTGTTTGTTTTTGTTGAAGTTATGTGTTAACAGTTCTGCTGTTTATTATGCAAGACACAGAAATGGAAGCGCTGGTTAAAGTATTGAGAGTAAATGTGTTGAGCTGATGTTTACTGTCCCTGGGAGGGAGAAAGGTGAGTAGCGAACTAAAAGGGGGCAAATGTTACCATATACGAGAGTTACTCCAACATACTGTTAAATCCCAGCAAGCAGAGATTTTAAATGCTGCTGCATCTGCTTAGAAGTTATATTGGGTCATTCACAGTATTTTCTATTAGATTTTTTTCATCATAAAAGATGTAAAATGCTATCCCTTCATATGCAGTCGTAGAGCCTTTGTGTCCTAGTATTTTCAAGAATTGATTTCTGTTCATGTGACCTACATTTAATATTAATTGCTCTAGAAAGTTTTCCTTATCTATTTTCTAAAGATGCTTTCTAATTCTCAAAATATTCTATGTCTTGATCCTGCTGTTTTCTCATTTTTAAATACACTATTTTGTTGGCTTGGTTAAAATTGATGATGTTCTACATCATTTATTGCAAAAGCAGATAAGATCATTATCTTGTTCTAAATGAAATAGTTTTCTTTTTTTCCAGAACAGTATAAAAACTTCCTAGGAATTAAAATAAAGATTTTAAAATGATTTATTTTTTATTTTATGTGCATTGATATTTTGTCTGCATGTATGTCTCAGTGAGGGTGGCAAATCCCTGGAATCCCCTGGAATTACAGACAGTTGTGAGCTGCCAAGTGGGTGCTGGGGATTGACTTTGGGCCCCCTGGAAAAGCTACCAGTGCTCTTAATTGCTGAGCCATCTCTCTGGCCCCTGAAATAAAACTTTAAACAGTTAAAAAAGACTTAGATTTACTCATTCTCACCATTAATAAAAGTGAATATAAGCCAAGCATGGAGGCACATATCCATAATCCCAGCCCTTGGCAAGTGGGGGATAGAGAAAAATCAATTCAGCATTGCTTTGGGCTACATAGTGAGAGCTTCCCTTAAATGGAAATAAAGAAGGAAAGAGGGTCGATATGCTGGCATATTTCTATAATCCAGGCACCTGAGAGACTGTGGAATGTAAAGCCAGCCTGAACTCTGAGACACATTCTCAAAAATTAAAAAAACAAGCAGTGGAGAATTAGAATTGGAATCCTGTAACTGGAGGCACGGAGGCAGGAAGCTGTCACAAACTGGCAGGCAGGTGCTATGACATGCTGTGGACATGACATAGCAGGACACCCATGCTATGCAGTGCATTCAATACCAGCTTCTACTACAGAGTGAGATGCCATTTCTAAAGGATCCACTGTGATCTTAAAAACAAGAAGGAAATGTGTAAATATAACGTCTAGTTGTGTGGGCCTAGCAGATAGATATAAAGCCTTGACTTCACTCTCAACTCTCAGCAAAAAAGAGTAAATATGGGAATGTGTGCACACTGAGCATTTTAGATGCCCAAAGTTCAATTTTAATTTTCAGCATGCACAGAAAAGTAACTTTAAAATATTATTAATAATTTTTAATCTCTCTGAGATAGATAGGTCTCTATTTTTGATTGGGAAATGACTCATATTTGACATTGTAAGGTCTAATTTCTGTAGATGGACAGTTCAGTAGAGGAGTATAGACAGATGTTCATAGCTACAATGCAGTGTGGATATATGGCTAACATTAAGTCCAAATATGCATTGACAGGAAGCAATTAGCTATTAAGACACTAGTATATACACTGGGCAGTGGTGGTGCACACACCGAGGCCTGCTCTACAGAATAAATTCCAGGGCAGCCAGGACTGTACAGAAAAACTCTGTCTTGAAAAGAAAAAGACACTGGTAGATTATCAGTTCAAATTTGTTGTTGAAATGTAGACAAATAGATAATTGCAAAGTGTAAATTTTCCTGGGGCCATTTAGAATCTTGGGAAATTAAAACCTTTATGTCAGTGATTTATATAATGGAAACCAAACTACCATATGGAATCATTTGCAGAATCCCTTCTCATTAGTCAGCATGGATCCTTAAAAGCAATATTTGTGAGATAAGAGTAAACTGGAACCACATCAGCCCATGTGTGTTTTAGCCTTGAACTTGACTTTTTAGCCTTAAACTTAATTAACTATCACTGACAGGCTATTTAGGTCCTGATAAAATCAAATGCAGGTTTAATATAAAATAAATTATGACCTAAACCGGGTGGTGTTAGTGCATGCCTTTAATTTCAGCACTCAGGAGGCAGAGGCAGGTGGATCTCTGTGAGTTCTAGCCTAGCCTGGTCTACAGAGCAAGTTTCAGGACAGGCTTCAAAGCTACACAGAGGAACCTTGCCTTGGAAAAAACAAATAGGAAATAAAAGCATAGATTATTCACCCTTTTGCTTTGCATCTTAATGCTCTATACTTGACAACTGCTCACCCTAGGAAACATGAAACTATGAATGAGAGTCAGCAGGAAACAAAACAATGCTAAAGATGCCTGCAAAGAATGTAAAATTATCATCATTATCAGGCAATCCACAATATACTAAAAATGTTAACTGAAATAGAAGTTAACCTGAAAATGTACAAGTAACAAAAAAAAACTGTAAAATATGACAGATGGGGAGCTAAAGAGATTGACTCAGGCATTAAGAGTGGGATTCCATTCCCACTACCCATACCTGTCTGTTCAACTGTACTTCTAGCTCCAGGGAAACTGACTCCCTCTTCTGACCTCTGCCAGCACCTGCACTCACACAGGTATATATCCACATGCAGACACATCAACACTAACATGACATCTTCGATAAGGACAAAATTAAACTTCCATAATGTAAAACACATTAATCAAAATTTAAAACAGTATAGAAAACAATAAAAACACAGCAAAATGTTTAGCCACATAAAAGATGTTCAAATACAATTCATACATATGTAACTCAAAATGTTAATACAATGAAAACACAAGAGGAGATTATTGAAAACACAGGCAGAGTAAAAGGGACATACAAAGAGAGAGATGAGGTTTTCTCTCCTTTTTTTTAGTGTTTTGAGACAGAGTTTCTTTGTGAAGTCCTGGGCATCCTGGAACTCACTCTATAGATCAGGCTGGCCTTAAACTCACAGATCTTCCTGCCTTGGCCTCCTGAGTACTAGGGTTAAAGGTATACACTACTACTGCCCACCAAGACAGATGAGCAAATATTAACTGGAACAGTATTTGAAGAAATAAATAGTAGGGGACTTATAGAATTAATGAAACATCAGCAAACAAATCTAAGAGATTGCTATAAATCTAAAAGAAAACATTACAGAGATGCTTGTGTCTATAAGCATCATAGTGTAATCTCATAAAACCAAAGAAAAAGAAAATTTTTATTTTAAAAATACCACAGAAAAGAGAAATTTAACTTCAAGATATGACAATTACACTGTCCAATCTGATCCATGTTTCTCAGTAGACGCAATGGAAAATAAGAAGCCTTCAATGTTCTAACAGAAGTTAACGAATCATTCTACCTTGTCATTTTATAGAGTCATCAAAGGAGAAAATCGAACAAACTTGATATCATTTTAGTTTTAACTATTAAAGATCACAGGGAAGAATCAGAATAAATACATTTCCTCTTTATTGACCCATACCTAGTTCAGATGTGGTCTAGGAGTTTGACCTGTCTCTTTTTCTAGTCTCTAGCCACATTATTTCTCTCTTCTTCTCTTGATAAAGTCTAACAGTGTGGTCCAGACTAGGTTCAAACTGTCTCAGCTTCTCCAGTGCAGGAATTACGTGTGGTAAAAATCTTGCTGTACCTGTCTGAAGGTCAGAGAATAGAGCGTGCCACTAGCTAACTACAGAGGTCTGGAAGTCTGTACAGACAGACAGGAAGTGAGCTAGCTGGGCATAAGCAGGATATAATCAGGGAGAAAGAGGAGCTAAGTTTTCTGCTGAGACTCAAAGACAGCAAGGTGTAGCGGTGGCTTGCTCATTCTCACTCATCTCTCAGAATTTTCCTCTATATCTGACTCCTATTTTTTATTATCTAGACCAATGAAGAACTCAATTTATAATTATGAGTGTGAAAGAGGTAAACTAAACTCAAAGGCTTCACTTCTAATAAATCACACTTAGGAGAAATTGTATGAATGTGACAAAGTTCTCATCCAACTCTTATCAGAGAGAAACTATAACAGTAAAGGTTATGGAAAAGCTTTCAGAACAAATCCAGTCCCCTGGCCTCTAGTTCTTGTGTTGTGAGCAAAAACTCCAAAACAAACTTCCTCTTAGATTCAGTTACTGTGTTTGACCACAAAGAATATCCAGGATCTTGGTTCCTGGTATCTATGTACAATAGACTACCTCCAAAAGATGGACAAAGCTACAGGAACCACAGAAGGCTCCCTCCCAACACCAACCAATGAGAACAGGCTACCTGCAAGTAACAGACAAAGCCATAGAAACCACCAAATATTCCCACCTAAAGCCAACCAATGAAAAATACTAACAAACCAGTTGCACTGACTCTAGGAAATTCCCCTAATTGTTCCCCAAATGCCAACCAATCAGGATCTGACCCATACCTACTGATGTAATCTCCTGGCAATAGATGAGGGACTGAATTCAGTCCCTCTGGAGGCTATTGCGTCAGCCTGCTAGACAAGTCCTTATGAGTAGGATTAAACAATAAAACCTTACATTTGCAGTTCGGTGAATCTGTCTCCTTGGTGGTCTTCGAGACTTGGGCACAACAAATGTGCATCATCATGCCTGATTC